AAGTACACAGTATCTAAACTTATAGGGGAGAAATGCGTTGAAACTTTTGGGGAAAACTACTTTTTCAGAATCGATGACTTTCGAACATCCTCTTGGAAAGATGTGGTTTCACAGAAGAATGGTTTCCGAGCTACTTTACATCTTAGTCCTAAAATAAAAGAATTGGAACTGATTTTGAAGCACACACACTATTGTAACATCAAGAAGGAAGGAAGCAAAATAACCATGAAAATTGCAGAAAATAAGCAGGTATTTTCTGTAAAAGATCACTGAGTTGAGTCCAAAATAGTTCTGAGGTGCAGTATAAGACTTTCAAATACTCCAGGGGCTCCTGCAAAGTGTAGACATGGAGTGTCCTTGAGTTAGCACTGAAAGGAGAATAGGAGTGGGGGTGGGTGAAAGAAGCAACATAGAAATCTAGGTAATGCAATTCTACATAATATTTGTTTAAATTGCTTGCAAGCATCAGTGTGTGGTCCATGGGCAGACTGAGTGAGCACTTCACAGCCCAGGGCCTCAGTCAGTTTGAATGAGATGTTGAGGATTATCCTGCCACCTTGTGGCTCTGAGCCCACCTGCACAGGGTTTGGAAAAGAGAGGAAGGAAAGGAAGGAATCACAGAGTGCCTAACTGAAGAAGGAAAGTTCAGAAACACATCTTCCTCCCTCTTCCAGATAGAAATCAACTCACCCAAGCCTGCTCATCACTATCAGCATAGAATAACAGCATATTTACTTAATTAGCTAAATAAGAATAGGGCCTGAAGTTCAGCCCTTGGGTGAGATTTTTGCTGAGAAAGATTTCCCAGGATTTTTGTCCTACTAGAGTGGCTTGATGCACTGTGAGCTCGAGGTCAAAGATTAATTAATTTTGTCTCTCCAAAGTCTAAAGTTTAAATACTTTCTCATTACGTTAGGCTGTTTATCAAATAGAGTGCTTTCGTTACAAGATTAATTAAGAAACAAATCCTCAAAGCAAAAATGGCATATCATTGACCAGAGTGAAGAAAAAAAAAACATTTAATAACAACTAGAAGTCATGTTCAGATTAGATATAGTTTTTACTGTTGTTATCCTAATCTCTTGAAAGATACATCAAGTGGAATTTAAGCCAAATATCATCTCTTAACTTCTGTGAATTTCTGTTTTATCACTGAAAAGGGTAATGCCTCCCTCACATTTTTCCTGTAAAATATCTGGCACATAGCCTGGCTTAGGATAGATTTGTGGGGAAAGCAAGTTCAAGAACTTGACTGCTAAATGAGACACCAGCTGATTCTTACACACACTGAAGTGTGAAGGTCACTGGACCATTCCAGTGAGCATGGGTCCCCCTGCTGGGTGGCCCATAAGTGCAGCTGAGGGGAAAAATTTTAAACCACCACATCAGAATACGAGGAGGCAGAGAGGTTCCTGCTAGCAAATGACTGGGAAAGAACTCAGGATTTGGGATTTGTTAAAATCAATTTTCCTGTCACTTGAACAAGCACATTTGAGGAAAGGGGAGCTCCTGGGTTCCTTGAAGCAATTAGTGACATGCACTATGAGGCTGGTTTCTAAAATCTAGAGCCATCCTGGAGCGACCAGGTTGGCAGTAAGCCAGAAGGGGCAGTACTAGGTAGCAGTCTCAACAGTGTATGTATTCAGGGAGGTCCTTTCACCTCTGAGTTTACCACTGAAAATAAAACAGGCTGGGGGACTGAGTGATACACTGTGATTGTCCCAGCAGCTCCTGAGAGGTGGCCTCCAGGAACAAGATGTAGCCAGGAAGAAATGCATAATAAAAGGAAGGGAGAGTTTCCGGCACTCTGTTCCTTTTTGTGTAACAGCTAAAGAGGATTTATGTGAGGACCAACCTGTGTCAATGCAGCACCAGGAATCCAAATCTTTGACACCTAAGGTTGTTTCAGAAATGTTAATTATATACATATGGAAGTCCCTGCACTGTCCTGATTCAATGTTCACTTTGTTGTAAATATTCTTTCAAAACAGGGCTGTGACCTTGACTATTTTTCTCTAAATATATTTTAGATTATAGAAAAGAGAAGTATGTGTGATAATATATCATTCTTTTACAAAACTCACATGCTTGTTTCCTTGGTCCTCCAAGAGAATGTCCAGGAAATGCTTGTTTGGAAATCCTATCAGAGTAATCTTAGCCAGCACCTCTTTGCTTTCTGCTATTTTTCAGATGACATGATGGCAGAATTCAGTGAGCTTTGGTTGAATTAGAGATTAAACAACTGAAATTAAGATTTTATGTTTCCTCTATTTGAAAAGGGAAAACTGAATCTGTATTACCAGGTGGAATACATAATGTTTTAAGGAAGAAACAGAATGATCACACAATATGATAATCTTAGAACAAGAAGAAGTAAACAGAGTGGTTCTGAAAGAGAAAGGAGTTTGTTCTTTAAATCAAGAAGTAAAGTTAGTATCTTCAGACATGGGATCATGTTTCATCTCTTAGAAAAAGGAGGCTGAATAACAGAGATTCAAGATTCTCAGCAACATCTAAGTCAACTCAGATGTCCCCATCCCAGTCTGTTTTAGTTGTCTGTGACTATAATATTAAACCAACAAAATCTTAGTGATATGGGAAACCAAAGGCATTGATTATCTCTCATGAGTCTGTGCATCTATTGGACTCAGCTGGGAAACTCTTTTAAACAGGCAAATGACAAGACCAAGGCTACATTTTAGGATTTTCTGAGGACTAAAGTAACACAACTAAGAGGTAATAAAGATCTGAATAATCTTTTTCCTCCTTTGTCTTTCAAAGTGAGAAGTTTGCTTTTAGATGTTCAAGTGGTCTGTGGTAGAGACCGGTGTCCCTAGGGCATACATTGCTGATGTCCTCGACTATTTTACACTACTTGGTGTGAACATTTACTCCCACCAGAGTGTTTTAGTCATACTATGTAGGCCCCTGAATGTCATAAAGTAAAAATGGAAGGGATGCGAATCACTAAAAGTAAATACTTGTCTCGTATGAATTGAGAAGTCACATGTTCCTCTCTCTGTAGTATTTCTGTCAACTAACTTAAATGTTGATACTTGTTGCACCTTCCACTCACATCTAAAGAATTCTGCCAAGCTATTTTTCTCAAGTTATTTCTAAATACAATAAATTTTTATTCACTACCTTACAATGTCTATATCTCAACATTTTCCTCATTAGGCTCTGTATCCACTAAAACTGTGGCCCCCAACCCCCAGGCTGCAGACCATTACCAGGCTGTGGCCTGTTAGGAACTGGGCCACGCAGCAGGAGGTGAGTGGGGGTGAGCGAATGAAGCTTCATCTGTATTTACAGCTGCTCCCCATAGCTCTCCATTCTCTCCCCAACCCTGGTCCCGGGAAAAAATTGTCTTTTATGAAACTGGTCCCTGGTGCCAAAAAGGTTGGGGATCCCTGCCCTAAAATATGCACAGTGACATTGGAAATGTTTTTAAACTTTGGTGGCACATTGTGTCTTTTTTCTTTTAGACTATGTCTTCTGGAAGTTTCTTGGAATCCACAGAATGTGAATTCTTTGTAAATGATGGTGCCTTAGAGAAGTTTCCACTACTCTTTCCTGATTCCTCAGAGAATGTGCAATCAGTAACTTTTTAAAGATTCATTGGCTTCGAAGAAAACTTTTCTAATGCTATTGAGGCCATGTCCCAGGAGAACATGAGATAAAGAGAGAGCATTCTTTATTTTTGTGCAGCAATAAAACTCTTTGTCTAGCTGGAGGCAGAACATGTTTTATAAAACAGGTCATTTATAGATTTGGCCCATATCAAAACTAAGACAGCTTCAACTTTTGATTGCTGCTGAGGGTCTTGCCACCCCTGTGTCAATCCCCTTTCATTCCATAATTTCTTAATGTTGGTTTATGAATGCTTCTGTTTTGGAGCATTTTAAAATGAGATAAATATTACTAAAACTTCCACCTGATCATACGAAAAGACTTCCCAGAGCACTGGTCTGGAGAATAGGTAGGGAGAAAAACTTCTTTTGAAAATTTTGTGTTTGTGCTCAAAATGTAAGCCCTCACAACTTCTAGGACTCATATCCCTGAACATTGCCAAGAAAAAAAAAAATTGGGGGTAACTTATATCCCTGACATATTTTTCATAAGAATGTGGGAGGAAGGATGTTAACCTGTAACTTAAAAAAGTGTTTGACATCTATCATTTAGGAGAATTTTTTGATTTTACACAAACATAGAAGGAAAATCAATCCCAAAATTTTATGGAAAAAAAGCTTCAAAAAAATAAAGTCCCATATCTATATCTTCTTTTGCAAACTTATGTACATAATGAATAAATCAATATGCTAGTGTTTATATCAGTCTACAAAATTAAAGTGAAAGGTTAAGCAAAAACTTAATGCCACAATTTTCTACAGAAGACATTGCAACTTCCAATATTGAAATTCAACATTGGTAAGTAATATTATAGATTTTTTTTTCTAGTGGTCAAGCTAACAGCAGCAGCAATAGAAATTCAAAGATAATGACTTTAAAGTGACTACTACCAACTCACTATAAAATATGTGCATTTTTGCATATTTAAATAATTTTAAGTAATATATTTAACTAAGATACACATAATCAAAATTTCCCTTACTGCGTCTATTGCACTATATATTGGGTTTGGGATAAGAAACTAATATTTTATTAAATGCTAACTTTGTATTGTATGCTAGCCAAAAACTATCAGAGATCATTTCTGCCCAAAAATAACAAGCTTACAAAATGAGTTTAACTTTACCTGGTTCTATTATAGTCACATAGTAAGAGAGTGACTTAGAAGGTGGCAAAAGTTTGCATGTTTTTTGGTGTTTTGTTTTGTTTTGGTTTGGTTTTGGGGGTTTTTTTCTTTTATTTTTTTCATTTCAGCATAGTATGAGTTACAAATGTTTAGGTTACGTGTATTGCCTTAAAGTTTGTTTTTGAGGCCCAAAACTCAGAGTATACTGTATAACCAAGAAGAGGTAAACTACTAGTCCTAAATGATAACAATATGTCTCTTGACCTTGCAGGTTACCGACCCAATGAATATCTCTGAGCCAGATTCCCGTTTTGCTTTTGTAAATGAATTTACACTCCAAGGTTTCTCTTGTGAGTGGAAGATTCAGATCCTCCTCTTCTCACTGTTCACTATGACATATGCTCTGACCGTAACAGGGAATGGAGCCATTGTTTGTGCACTATGGTGTGACCAGCGACTTCACACTCCCATGTACATGTTCCTGGGGAATTTCTCCTTTCTAGAGATATGGTACGTTTCCTCTACGGTCCCCAAGATGTTGGTCAACTTCCTCTCAGAGAAGAAAACCATCTCCTTTGCAGGATGTTTCCTCCAATTCTATTTCTTTTTCTCTTTGGGGACATCTGAATGCTTGCTCTTAGCTGCCATGGCCTTTGATCGCTACCTTGCTATCTGCCGTCCCTTGCACTATCCTAATATCATGACTGGGCATCTCTGCACCAAACTGGTCATTACCTGCTGGGTTTGTGGATTTCTGTGGTTCCTGATCCCCATTGTTCTCATCTCTCAGATGCCCTTCTGTGGTCCAAACATTATTGACCATGTTGTGTGTGACCCAGGGCCACTGTTTGCATTGGCATGTGCCTCTGCCCCCAAAACCCAATTATTCTGCTACACTCTAAGCTCATTAGTTATTTTTGGTAACTTCTTCTTTATTCTTGGGTCCTATATCCTTGTCCTGATAGCTGTCTTGCGTATGCCTTCAGGCACTGGGAGACATAAAGCCTTCTCCACCTGTGGGTCTCATTTGGCTGTGGTATCATTGTTCTATGGCTCTCTGATGGTCATGTATGTGAGCCCAGGACTCAGCCATTCTGCTGGGATACAGAAAATTGCGACTTTGTTCTATGCTATGGTGACCCCACTCTTCAACCCCCTCATCTACAGTCTCAGGAATAAGGAGATAAAGGGAGCCCTGAGGAAACTTTTGGGAGTTCTGTCATAATCTAAGGTATCCTAGATGATTACTCCATGATCAGGTCAGTATAATATAACAAAAAACAATCAGAGTTATACAGTTATCTAATTCTACAAATATGGGTCTGGTGATATTGACTATATCAGTCTGAAATTAAGCATCTATTGGGCTCCTTCAAAATTTCCCAATTATATACATAAATAGAAGTGTCTGGTTTCTCTTTGGCACTTAGACTCTGTATTAACTAAGGAATGTACACATTTGGGTTTTTTCTGGATAGTTTTCATATGATTTATCTATGATAAAAATTCTTATATTGTATTTGGTCATTTAAATTTCTAGTTCTGGGATCAATAAAATTATAACTGTGTCATTTTGTTTATTGATTTGGTTGTAAATAAAAGAAGGAAAAGATATATTTTCTGATTGTGATTCTTATTATATTTGGTTTTATTGTTTTTGTTGATATGGTCATTACTGACAAACCCTTAGAAGCAATTTACCAAAATTTCTATGGAGCAATAAAATATTCTAGCCTAATGATATCTAAACATTTATTGTTTTCTTTAAACATCACCTCTTTAAATCCCCAAAAGACAAATTCTAATTCCATGTATAGCAATATCAGTCAAAATATTCAGAAATGCAGTATTCTGGATACCTAATATTTTTACCTAATATTTTTATTTATTTTTATTTATTTACTTACCAAAATAAATTTATTTTGGTATAACCAAAAACTTGATGGGTCAGTTAATTGGGTTTTAGACAATGGACTATCTCCTCCTAAAAATTGGAGAGAGAAATGGTGTACTTGGAGATAAATTGCTTAAGTTAAAAAAAATTAGCATTTCATTGTTATTTGTTGATGAAACAGTGTGAAAATAACATTAAGGAAAAATTTTAAAGGAAAAAAGCATCCAGAATTAAATCACTCTAATGCAACTATTTTTGTTTAAATGTCTGTTTTATGTAATATTATGTTGAACTTGTTCCCATGTTAGCAAGTTTTTATAATTATTTGCAAGTTTTTAAAATTATATAATTATAGAACTATAATATTTTATTAAATTAATATGGTATAAATTAAGAATTTTTATGTGATGAGATGAACATTTTCCTAGAAGTAGGGTCTTCCTTCCAAGTATCTAGGAGCTGATTTGCAAAAGATATAAGAAAGGGAATTTTCATAAGGGGGATTAAGGAGAAAAATGAATGCCACCACTACACACGAATGATCTCTTAAAGGATTAGCACTCGATCTTTCAGGAGTAGTTATTGAACATTCCAACACCCTCCCTTTCACATACCACTGATCCTATTGTTGGACATTATAGCTATTTTCATTCTTTTCTTATAAAATTAAATTTCACTAAAATCTTCATAAAGATTTTCCATGACAATATTTTACAAACCTAAATTAGGAATCATCATCTAATCAAAAACAGAACTGTCCCCAGAAATCCAGGATATAAGAATACTATGTGCATGCAACAATTTTCCTTTCAGAGTTTTTGTCTTAGAACAATTTCTTGGGAAAGAGATAGTTAATCAGTTCAAAAGGTAGAAGCTTATTTATCAGTTTGGGCATGGACATTCCAGATTGAACAACTATTTGCTCCTTGGATGTGACAAGTTGTCAAGCTCCTTGGTCAGTCTTATTTATGGGAACCCTGCCGTATCTCTCACTTGTATAGCCCATTAAGGATGCTTCCTATATTCCACACCCCTTTCCTGGGTATGTGACTTTTAAATTACTTGGAATCTTATCAGCAAAGGGCTCAAGCAGAACACATAGTCAAGGCAGGCAGTATGTCCACCATAATTTCAGAAATCTCTACCTTGGGTTACTAAGTCAATACACTTGCACAGCCACTAGCTTTTCAACGGTTGCTTCTTACACCCCCAGACACCATGATTGATTCACAATCTTTTCTATAGTACTAAATCATTTGGCCAAACACTACATAAATACAATATTTTTCCAAGCTAAACTATATCCCAAAGAGAGAGAGAGAGAGAGAATATATTAGGCATAGCAGTAAAAATACAGTGTTCTTCTTTTCTTTAGTATTTAGACTTTGGAGAGAACACAGCAGAGTGATATTTAAAAATAATTGTGCTGGTTAGTGATTTCCTCAGAGGAAATGAAAATAGAAAGTCACGGTGTTTATTAGCTACCATTAAACATTAAACATTTGTTAAGTTGATCAAACTTTTCATCTTACCTCAATTAAAACTAATTCCCTGACAAAGCAAAATTTATTTGAACAACCAGAAATGTACATTCAAAGTTACTGAAAAATTACAGCATGAGCCACATGGGCAAACAATATTACAAGAAGAGAATAACAATTAACATTTCGAGCCACAAATTTTTTAAGATTTTTTTTATTTCAGCATATTATGGGGGTACAGATTTTAAGGTTTCAATAAATGCCCATTTCCCCCACTCCCCCCACAAGTCTGAGTCTCCAGCATGACCATCCCCCGCATGGACCATTCCCCCAGATGGTGCCACATCTCACTCATTATGTATGTATATACCCGCCCCCCTCCACCCTCCCCACCTGGCCCAATACCCTATTACTGTAGTACCTATGTGTCCACTTAGGTGCTGTTCAGTTAATATCAATTTGCTGGTGAGTACATTGTGGTGCTTGTTTTTCCATTCTTGGGAAACTTCACTTAATAGTATGGGTTCCAGCGTCTAACAGGAAAATATAAGGATGTGCTATTATCAACATTGTTTCTTAGAGGCTGAATAGTACTCCATGGTAAACATATACCCCTTTTTTTTTAATTATTTTTATTTTGGCATATTATGGGGTACAGTGTTTAAGGTTTCAATAAATGCCCATTTCCCCCCCTCCCCCAAAAGTCTGAGTCTCCATCATGACATCCCCAGATGGTGCACATCTCACTCACTATGTATGTATATACCGCCCCGCCCCTCCACGCCCAATACCGTATTTTAGTCTCCTT